ATGGTGATTCTAAGTCACCACGTGGCACATTGGCCCTCGTTTCTCAGTTCAAGGTGCACTCTGCCATTGCTTGCCTGTTAGCACTACTGGCAGATGGGCCAACATTGGAGCGAGCTCTCGAGGGTATTTTGTCTACTCTTCTACGCGGACCAGACTTTTTTTAAGAGGTGGGCATATCCATTAGTTTAAAGTGCCACACGAAACTTGCCGATCGATCGGTCAAGAGGCAAAATAGTATTTTATTGCCTGACATTTCTATATGTGAGCAAAGCGGTAACCTATTGTTTTGCAGTTCTATCCATACAGTTACTGGTAAGGAAAAAACCTATATTAATAATCTCACTTGTGGCAGAGGAAGAGGCAGTCGGGAGTTGCAGAGATGGATGAAATTCGTGATTTCAGCATTCTCATAAGAAAAAACCTCACCTAAATAACGTGCAACCAATAAACACTTGGTCAATGTATTTCATGACGAGAAGTTTAAGCAGATAAGGAGGCTCAATATAATCATCAATACAAGTCTTCTCTCGTTCCCTTCTGTGTTCAGTTTGAGACGTTGGGAACAAATTCGATCTTTACCCTTCTCTCTGCTTTGCACCAGCGTCTGCGATTTCCTTTACTTGTACTCATTTCTGTTCCAGATCATCAATGCGAGTCAAATACAATTAAAAAGAGATTTCTTATCCGACTGCTAATGAGTGCTAATGGGAATTGCATTAGCACCTCCGATTAGCACGGTTGGCTACGTACGGTGCAAAATAAGTTCAACATACACACAAACATATATGGTACAGTACGTTATAAAACCAAGGTATTTCCTATATGGAATCACTATCTGACAGCAACTGCTGAGCCCTCAGTAAATTAAGTCCAAACTCTCACCTATGATTGCCCCAATGCCTTTTAAAAAAGGGTGGCAGCTCTTATTAAGTTTAACACGTAGGCTTTCGCGACCAATATTATTCATAATCAACGTTTTTGGTTTTAGATCGCGTTATTTATAAATGTGTCGTAACCCTCCACCACCCGACACGGCCAATCAGTAAAAAAGTGTCACCTTGACAAAAGACAAATAGTTCACTGCTTTAGCCCACTGATGTGTCGAAGCGTGAAACCACAACATTTACAAATTACTCAAATTGTAAATGTTGTGGTTTCACGCTTCAACACACTGGTGGGCTAAAGCAGTGAACTATTTGTCTTTTGTCAACGTGACACTTTTTTACTGATTGGCCGTGTCGGGTGGTGGAGGGTTACGACACAGCTCTTGTTAAGTGGCGGCCAGGACAAAGCCGATGTGCGTTCCATTCGTCTCGTCCTGCTGTGGCAAGCCAAGCCACGAACTCACAGACCCGCCTGTCACTCCACTCCTCTCAAGTCGTCCCACCACTTTCTCGCTCCTGTTATGGCCATTACAGTGCCATCTCTTTCCCCAAAAGCTTCGTGGACCTACCCCTTGATCAGAGGCAAGTAAATGCGTCAATGCGCAGAGAGAGGGCTTCTGCCCACGTGACCTCCGGTGTGTTTCAATGCAGTGGCTGTTTGCTGTACGCGTCTCATCATGAAATAGCATTTTGTTACTCAAAAAGGGGAAGTGATGATCTAACATTTCTTTCAGCACTCCCTAATAAAGTCTCGGAGACTCCGTCAAGCTTGCCTGGGTAAACAGACACAACTGCAATCGCGCTTATGCAATCTTTACGGCATATGCAATCTTTTAATGGACTTCATTGTCAGTTATTTGAAGCGCAGCCTAATGTACGATTAATTATTTCATAAGGTTGTTTTAATCCTCTTTGAAAAGGTTAATCAACAATGTGTATTCTACTGCTGGCAATGGTCATGTTGTTTCTATTTATGGCAACTGAAGAGGCAAGGCATTGCACTGCTTTAGTAAAGGAATGCAAGATGTACAAACCAAGAATGTGGGAAAGTAGGATTAATCTTAACCTTGTGTTAATAAATGCCGTTAGCCAAAAAAATTAAAGGCGGTTAGATTTATCTTCACCAGAAAAGGTTTTACGCTCTTCATTCGAGGTGAAAGAGCGGCACTTTTTCTGGGAAACGTGAGGTTTGTTTTCATTGGTATCGTCAAATCAGTGTGCTCCCAGTTCAACAGGAATCAGACGCCTGAAAATTCCTTCTCGAGGTCAATCCCCAAGGGATTTGTTCAAACAGAACACGATACGACAGAGTGCAAACACCAAGTCAAGCACGGACGAGGAACCATTTACTGAAGGGGGGTTTTTGTTCTTTTTTTAAAACCTCAGGCCCCGAATTGCGCACAATAGCTTCAATAAACGCACATGCACTTGGACCACCCAAACAGTTGCGTTCAAGTCCGCTGGATGTTACCGTGCAAAGTTAAGAAGTGAAAAAGATTTTAAATTATAAATGGAAAGTGACATTTTAACATTTCCCAGACTGAAAAATCTACACAGGCATGTCAAATGTGGAGACAATGCTCACACTGTAATATATAACAAGACATTTTGTAACTCCTTTGCAAACAAGCACGCACTGTGTACTATATTTTCAATGTTGTTTGCAATAGTGCTGTACAAAAATGTGATGTTGAAACAGTGCATGTTGGATTTATAATCGGTTTAAAAAATATTCCCCTTAAAAATTGATGGTCTTCGTAAGGCTATGCTGGCCACGGAGACCGTTTTGGCCATATTGAGAAATTCTCAATGCTGCTCAGTACAGATTTGAGGGTGGAGGCAGACGACACGACTGGCGCAATACAGTATCATTTGGCACTGTTGTTAGCTGTGGCTGGGAATTGAAAGAAGGTAGCTGGATTAATCATTGCGCGGAGTGTGACCCAATGCTTTAACCTGTACGTATATTACAGCTGGGTACAAGCCAGACATTACCACTGTGCATGGAACTATTCTGACACAACATAGTTAGGCAAAGATTTAAATTTCTCCACGCGAGTTTGATGCAGTTTAAAATGAATTGGACTTGTTATTATTGAAGCTGCCTGCATTTTCTTGAATGGAAGTTTAATAGTCAAAATATATACAATACTTACATATACACTTTTTATTTAAAAAACATTTAAAATAAAGTTTTGAAAAGTAATGTTCCATGACATTTTCATTTCAAAGATTCCAGATCCCCTGTTCAGTTACATCAAGGGATTAAGATGCGAAATGAATATGTAATGTATTGTATACCAGGGCACCCCACGGTAATTACATGTTAACTGAAACCTGGGCTCCTTTGTCTGGCCAGGCTCAAATAAACACTTTGAGAGTAGAATCTGTTCAAACGCATGCCAATCAAAAGGTGACTTACAAACTCATACTCTGTTTTTTTCGGTAAAGTCACGTAGGTAACAAATAAAATAAATAAGTGACACACTTAAGCGGGTGTGCTTTCGCTACCTTGTCCCCACCTGCAAGAAGGACGCTTGTGTTGCGCCCGAAACGTCGTGATTTCATTTAGTTGTTTTCATTTATTTTATTACATTTTTTACCTACGTGACTTTACCGAAAAAACCACAGAGTGTGAATCCTTGCAGTCACGAAAGCTTCAAATCTAGAATTGACTTACAAACTCAATCGATACATCGCCACAAATGTTTCGCTCACGACTCTAATGTTTGCACGTTTCTTCCGTTGTTTAATAATGGTAGCGTAGCTTTGAAACAAATTCCCTAGCGTTGTCTATTGTTGACTCGTCTCTGCGTGTATGCGTCTTTCGAGAGTACATCTTGTCGCGTCGTGTTTTGGTTATGCAGCTGCGTTGGCAGTGGTGCACAAGGACAATCAACAACAACTCACAACACTGTGACCTTACAATAAAATATGTATAATCGGGGACATTTTGGGAAATGGCCCTACTTCAAAGCACACATATCGTGTGCTGAAGGTTGTATCAGTATAGACTTTCGCTTGAGTAAAGTTCATCTGTTTGCATTACACAAAATTACCATCAGCTGCACGCATTCACTTTTGTATATTAAAAAAAGAAGGCTATACACATTGCAAAGGTATTCAAATCCAAGCCACCGTTAAACATGGATAAATGTGTTACATTAATCATGTAATGTAAACATGTCTTGATGAATATTGTCCATGACCAAACTATGCATACTGCCTCACGCTGCAATTGTAAATTATATTTCAGGACTGTAAATTATTCCTCAAAAAGCGCCATAGCCACACAACATACAACGCCGTCCTGAACATGACAATGCAATGGAATGTAATGCAAGTGGAATGTAGTGCGTACGAATGCAGAATGTATACATTGCAATGCGGTACCGAGATATAATAAACACACGGAAATACTGCACCATATATTATGTAAAGTACGGTTGTGTATCTGAAGAGAAAATGTACGGTATACCCTGCAGTAGATAGTATACTGATATATACAGGTACTGCATTACATAAGCCGTAAAGTTTTCCATTCAATTAAACCTACGGATCATTTGCATGTAAGCTATGAATTCACTATCACGTTGTAGAACGTAGGTAATGATTCTATGAGACACTAAACAAAGAATGCCATGCACAGGTAACGCATCGGCACTTAAGTTCAAACGTGCTTCGCAGTTACAATGCATTTAGAGGGTACTACATTGTAAACCTCGACTCATTCAAACAGATCCAATACAATAACCGTAATCACAACAAAAATAGGGAGTTTGAAGTTGGCCTCTTTCAACAATTCACTTTTCTGTTTAAAACGTTACCCTAATTCCCCAGAAACAAAGCGACAATTAACCCAAAACGCACATAGATGAAAGCAGCGGGCAAAAGTTACAATTAGTTGCAAAAATACAACATTACTTCACTAGAAATGCAATTGTTACAAATGCTCCACACATACACACACATTACCTCTGTTTGGCCGGCTAGCAAAACACTGTTACATCTAGAACTAAAAATAATCACATCAACTTCCTCACCTTAAAACTCAGCCCAAACGCATCCCAGCCACCACCATACCAACCTCCCTTTAAACTAAAGCGCAAAGCTCACCTTGTTGATGCGAGCCAAAAACGGATTCCGGTCCAGTGGCGCCTCCCTCTCTCTCGCGCGCGCACCTTTTGCACACGCACAGCTCTTGAAAATGTGGCTCCAGCCGAGAGCAATTCGTGATGTCCTAATAGGATCTCAGCAAGCGGATCCTCTGGGCTCGCTCTCGCTCTCTCTCTCTCTGTCCGTATACAGTGAGTGAGACCAGCCCTACCGTGAAAGCCGGCGTTGGAGTGAGAGAGAAGAGAGCAGAGAGGGGAGGAGAGAGTTGGAGATAGTGGGGGGTGGGTGGAAAGCCACACACATATATAGACAAAAACCATGAAAACCGGTTCTGAAGACGCCCGCAGATCCGGGTACCCCGCTCTGCCACCACGGGTGGCTTTTTTTTTAGGTTTGGGGCGCCTTTAAAAAAAAAAGTTGTGGGGTCCAAGCGTTTGGTGGGGAGGCTTGCTTTGGCTCTGTGCTGGGTTGATCCTTGTGATGGAAGGGAAGGTGGGGAGGGGTGTGCCCCACTGTGTGTACACACAAACCCCGTGAGGGTAGCAGCAGCAGCAGCAGTCGGGGTGGGGTGGTGGTGGTGGTGGAGGAGGCATTTTTTGTAACCGCGTTATCCCTTCACGGAGTTGGGTGTGACCGGCACCACGGCGGTGGGATTCCCTCCCATCAGCGCACCCTCCCCGTGTGTCCTGTGACTTGCAAACCCTCAAGCACTACCACAGCTGCCACTGTGCATAGCGAAGGAGCGGCGGACTGGGCTTTAAATCCAGACCTCCCGGCGCGGCAGTTAAAACATACAGTGAGCACGTTTCTTAAAACCTCCCTGACCACACACACACACACTCAGTTCACCCAGCAGCACATTACTAGATTCGCAGGTTACGCGGCGTGGTGGGGTAAAACGTAAGGAGTCCCACTTCTTCCAAGACGCTTTTGGTCAGCGTTGAAGAGTTGGCCAAATACCCTCAGGAGTGAGCTCTCTGAGTCTCGAGGGAGGCAGCATCGGAGGCTTGGTTTAGCTCAGCTCTCGGCTCCCTTTTGTCGAGGCGTTTCTACCAGCAGAGGCGTGAGCAGGCAATTGCAAGGGATGCACCTTTACCTTCGATTACATACTGAGCATTGCTTGACGACGACGACATAAGAGATTGGTGCCAGTAGGTTGTGCACTACTTGAGCATATTGACACCAGACAGAGGAAATTGGAAACAAATGGAAACCTACGGACCATCTTTGACATATCGTGATGATGATGATGTTGAAATAATGTACCGTAGTGTGAATTGAAACAACAGGCTTCAGCGGGGGAGGATCTAACATCCGTGTGCAGTTAGACATTGGCTGTTCATTAAAAAAAAATGGCCTTAGGCAGAATATTCGTTGAAGGGATGGTAACCAGTGGTTGAGACTTACGCCTGAGTGACAGCCAAGAGAGATGGATGGGCTGATGTGACCAGCACGTGTGGATTTATATTCCAGAGATGGGCAAAGGGTTAGGGGAGGTCGTTCATCCAGCAGTGGAGTGATCACGATTATATTAATCGAGATTTATTATGCTCCTGTATAACTACGACAATCATAAAACTTACATAAAAAATTATGTAATTTGGGCGGCCAAAAATAATTACAGTCCTGCAGAGACTCATAGGGAAGGGTCAGGCTTTACATCTGTGAAAAAGAGCTTCATAGCTCATCGGATTCCTCCAGACTAAATACAGATTTTGAACCTAAAGTTGTGCATTGCTTTACAAATACTGCATCGGGAATAAATCACTTTCATCAGTGAACCAAGTAACTTGCCTCCGGTGGAGTGTGACGCTAACGCCGATACAAAACGAGGATTAATTGGTTGTTTACCCTTCTATCTGGCAACAAAACTGACACCTTTTTACAAGGAGTCATGTTTGCATAGACCGCAATACCTGCAGTCATAATACAAACAAAAGACATAACTCTGATAGGACAGTGCACATTATCAGAGTTATGTCTTTTGTTTGTATTATGACTGGAGGTATTGCGGTCTATGCAAACATGACTCCTTGTAAAAAGGTGTCAGTTTTGTTGCCAGATAGAAGGGTAAACAACCAATTATCGTATTTTTACTGGCAAATGAGTTTCCCATAGTGTAAAGCGAGGATTATTTCACCATTCTTAGCCACGCTGGTCAGTGTGGGTTGGTGAAGGCGGGGAGAGTGGACCGTTGAAGCATCCTCAATTACAATGGAATTCACCACACTGCCCTCTGCTGGCAATATATCCTCGCAGCAGCAACGCCTGTTTTATGCATGGTGGTCACCCGTGCTCGCATTTTCTAGGCTTAAACCTGCTTAGCTAGAAAAAAAAACATGCAATGAGATCCACCTCATTCAAGCGGCGTGATTCGATCATTACGCTACGAGCCCAAACCGCACTAATATAGGGTAACATGGATGTTTCTTTCTTCAGGAGTGGCGTGGTCAGCACAATATAATTGCAATATTGAGGTCGCCCGTTCGACCTCCCAGACTGGCAGTTGAAACAATGGGCAAGTTTTTCTCGTTTTCATCCCATCGCCTCTGTCGACCCAGAAGTATAAATGTGTACACCACAAGGCGATCGGCAGGTCGCTTCTATAGTGTGATAAATTGTGGGTAACTCCCAACTCTTCCAAGGAATCTGGTCAGCTTGGAAGAGGTAGAAATGCCCTCTCGAGCTCCCTCTAGAGCAGTGCTTCTCAACCGGGGGTACGCGCGGGCCCATGGGGGTACACGTGGACCCATGGGTGGACGTGGCAATGTCCCAGGGGGTACGTGAGGTGATTTAAAAATGTGTGACATTATATCATTAATGAGAGTAATTGGTGAATAATCATGTATGTATCTGCCAATATAAGATAACTACGAGAAATGTCCAATCCATGTGGTTACGTAGAACGATATACAATACCTTTCTAATCTCATTGATCGTAAACAATGCGGTTTCCAAGAGTAACCAGCGAGCACGGACACATTATGTCACACGTGCAGAGCGTCCGTTGTATTTTATTCGCTTGCAGTTTCTCGCTAGTTAGGATAACCTCACAAAATGGACAATTGTTTAAAATATTTTTGTTAATTTTTCATGCATTTATTTCTCAGAAGCACGTTGGGTAGAAACGAAATTCAACGAGGGGGGCACAGTCGCCAAAACAAGGTTGAGAACCACTGCTCTAGTAAAGGTCTCTTCCGCTAGCAGCGTCGCGAGCAAGCAATTTCAGGGCTGCGCTTTTACCTTTTATATACTGCACGTGTGTGTGTGAAAGAGGTGCAGCCTGAAAACCACTGAGATCTTGACCCAAACCCCCTAGTGTATCTACCCTATCTGCCTGTGTTTGTGTTCCCCTTTGTATACGAGTAGACGAAATTGATCTCCCTCGCTAATTCAATCACAAATATAAGAAATGGTCCTTTTAACTTAATGAAAAGGAACTGTTTGACATTTGACCAACATGCCTATGGGACCTTTAAGAAGATCTCGTGCTCAGAGAAAAAAAAAGGTTTTCAATAGATTTTTGATTAACTGGTGTACGGTCACCGAAATAGCAGCATCAATTTATTTTACCAGTCACCCTCATCCATACACCAATTACACTACTGGATTGCTCCTTGCTAGTTTGGTCCAAAAGCGAGCTTTCCCCGGGTCATCAAGAGGCTTCATTAATCTACAACGAACATTCATTAACGGACATTAATCACAGTAATGCGCCAATCACTGACAATTCTCCACCTGAACATACAATGGCCCTTTTGCAGACAATTTCGTGACGCGTGAGAACCATTGTAGATCGCTTGCGTGAGCAATCGTCTACACACGTGCAAAATGCACTGCTGCGTATATCAAATCGTGTGTATACGTTCACACTTCTTCCGATGACGTCTCACAACCACATTTGTTTGGCGCAATGCATCCATTCTGTTTAAACTCTGCCATTGTTTACGTCTTGTTATGGAAAACTATGCCCTGTTTGCCAACTATATTTTCCTATGCTACAGCAGCAGAAACGGGGGGATTGGCTTTTCGTGCTACTCAATGGGCCGGAGCAGAAATTCGTACTGTGCCACCCAAGGTCGTAAAACTTTAGTGAGTTGACTGCCATGCAATAGTCCCATAAACTTAATGTATGGGAAGTTGTGACCCCCTGCTGTGTCGAGGATAAAAAGGCCGCGTGTAGGATTTTCCGTAAGTGAAAAATGCCTTGCGCAGACATGTTCAGGAGACGTAGAGAGATAGAGAGTGATGCTGCGCCGTGACATTTTTGATGGATTCTTCCTCTCAAGACAAGATGCAAATAGCATGCTTGAATTCATCTCAGGAAAAAAATACAAGTGTATATTAAATCAAATATATAAACGCGCAGTCATATCTAGTCTCTTTAACCCTTAAACGATCCATATTTTGTCCCACCAGGGTCATGGAGTCATATACAGTATAATATTTCGCCCTACATGCCTGTACTGCGAACTATATATTATACTGGAAGTTATATAGGAATCCAGGCTGAGCCCGGCATAACCGAGCATTATTTCTGCTGGTATTTGTAAGCACTAATGCATGTACTTGGCTTTATTTCATAGACTAATGGATAGGATTAAAGGATTTATTATTAGAGATTATGGCTATTATGAGCATTTAAACATCAAGTGATGTGCTAAACAGTGGCACGGCACTTAAAAGTCCATATACACTGCGCTCTAACTTAATAAGTGCTAAAGACTTCGAACAGCCAAAGACTGGCCCATATTGTTTCTTGCTCATGCCACTGCTGGTCACTCGAAACGTATGTAAGTATACAGTAATGAGTTACTCATTCATAAATTTACAGCCCTTTTTTATTAATTGCTGAATGGGGCCACCCAAAAGCCAATGTTGTTGGTCCATTGGTTGTTATTTCACTATACGTCACCGTGCTGGTCAGTGCATGTTTATGAAGGTGGCGGGAAGGGGGCAGCACAGGTTCAGATATCATTTACCACTGATGTTAGCCATGGTCCGAAATCACACTCGGGTTTGTGGGTTCATAGCACATTGCATTCATCACTGCGAGTCCCCATCCACCCACGTAGATTTTCACAACCACGAAAAAAACAATTCTCACAAACAATGTGAGAATTTTATTTAATTATGTAAATTTTTTATTCTTTTATTATTTCCCTTCTACGTGAT